CATTCAGCCAGGCATTGCGAATCAAGAGAATATGCTCTACTGAAAATACGCAAAATGCTAGATTAGGACAACTACGTAAACATCTAGTTGTTCGAGGATACAATAACAACATCATTGATAGCGCTTTCGAAAGAGCAAACAAAACTAGTCGCCAAGAACTTCTAGAGTATAAAGATAAGAATAAAGCAGCTAACAGAACACCCCTTGTACTCACTTGCCATCCTGATTTTAAAAATGTGTCTTCCATTGTTCAGAAGCATTGGAAAATTATAGAAAATGATTCAAATCTTAAAAAAGTATTTTCGTCACCACCAGTCATGGCCTTCAGAAGACCTTAAAACATCCGTGACAAATTAGTGACATCTGTATTAGCAAAGCAGCCTACTCCATCTCCCGGTTGCTACAAACAATGTGGTCGAAGGAACTGCTTGTGTTGTAAAGCTGCCAATACAAGCAGTTCTTTCATCAGCTCCGTTACTAAACAAAATTATACCATCTACTCAAATTCCAACTGTAAAACGGAGAACTCAATTTATATATTAACATGTGACACATGTGGCATTCAGTATGTGGGAGAAACAATGGACAAATTTAATATTCGGCTCAATAACCATCGTTCATGGTACAAAACCAACAAAAACTGTCCTCTCACAAGACATCTTCGTTCAACGAAACATTCTTTTGATAATGTTACCTTCCAAATCATAGAAGTCAACACCGAGTGGGACACCACGGCGAGAAGGAGAAGAGAACATTTTTGGATCCACCAACTCCACACTTTAGAACCTGATGGTCTTAACGAAAAAGATGAGAAAAGATACAGGAAAGATAAAGAATAATTTAGTACACAACATCGTCCTTTTTATCCTGTAATATTGGCCAATGGACGTTGCTAACTTCAACTACCAATTTTGTAAAAATCTTGAACTTCATCCAAATTATGTATTATTTTCAAGGCAGCTAAATTCAAGTGCAACATATACATTAAGCTGCAAAAGTTTCTTATCATCTACATCCGATTTCACCTGGATAGATGCACGCTTGATAAAGCTAGTTAGTCTAGCGAAATATTGCGTTTATTTTCATTATTTTGTAAATATTTTAAACATTCTTATATTTACATACTAAATAGTGTGTTAAAATTACATTGTTAGGCAATCTATAATTTTATTTGTGTAATTGAATTAATCTCTGTACTGATTAATCCACACTCCCATAGATTTGTATGTCATGTGCTGCTATTTATAGGCACTTATATTATTATCTTCAGTAGCACGCATTTCACAAATGTTTGTGTAATCCATTCAAATCTATCGCTATCTTTACAACATGGATAGCGCACTGCATTTCAAGAAATTAAGATCTTTAACTAAAAAGAAACTACAAACTGAACATCATTTATCAAACTTAAAAAAATATATTCAAAGTAGAACTGTACCAAAAGGTTTAAACATCAAAGTGAGTCCCCAGGCACCGGGACATAAATCCAAAAGATTCATGAGCCGTTGGAATGAAATTCTGTTTAACTGTTCAATCCAGCTACTTCAACTGTTACTTTCTTTTACAACCACAAATTACAAACAAATTGTAAATGAAATATCAGATATCATCAACAATAGTAACATTTCACGTGACGATTTACCAATAATTAAACGACGTCTCGCAGATATTGAAAAAATTTAACTATCCAAACATAAAGAAAAACAAAGGAATAAATTTCAAAGAGATAAAATTCACACTGTCTATTTAAATCAGGATATGAATGATATCAATACAACAAACCATAAGGTCCCCAGAAAAAGAAAATTCAAAAGACGGAAACAAAAAACTGAAAGCATTGTTGTAAATTTGTCATCTAAAGAACTTACACGTGCTGAAGAATCTCTTTTAAGTAAAGGTTTAAACTTCTGTCCTATCCCATCAAATGTAAATAACTTTTAGCCAGACGAGGACTTAGACCAATTCGCTAGACGTTTACGCTTGAAAGATTTTTTCTACAATAGGGGCAAGAAAAACCTTGAAGAAGCTGGATTAACAGATTCAGATACTGACACCAATAAAGAAGTCACGCCCATCCCAAAATTTAAGAAAAAAAGTTCATGGAAACCACCTAAGAGTAAAAATGATAACCTGGAGTCATTCATTAACTACGTGAGGTCTGATATAAAGTCCTGTATAACAAATACAAGAAATTATAATTTATCCAAGTCAGAAAGCATTGCTTTGAAAGCGTTAAAAGATCAAGAGGATATCGTAATAAAACCTGCCGACAAATGGGGCGCTGTGGTTGTCATGAATAAAACAGATTACATAGCAGAGGGAAATCGCCAACTTTCAAACTCCATTTTTTATAAACAATTAACCACAGATCCAACACTAAATACTATTCGAAGGATCAACACCATCCTTCAAGAGATGTTCGACAAAAAGCATATAGACAATGACACCTTTGATTATCTCCGACCTCTTGAGAACGAAGCAAAGGCCGGAAGATTCTATATGTTGCCTAAAATACATAAAACGGGCAATCCAGGTCGACCAATTGTTTCAGCAAATAGTCATCCAACTGAAAAGATATCAGAATTTGTAGACCATCATCTAAGACCTCATGTGAAAGAACTACCCTCTTACATCCAAGATACGACTGATTATCTAAAGAAAATGGAAAGCCTCAATCCTCTACCAAGCAATACTTTACTTGCATCCATGGACGTGTCTTCTTTATATACCAACATTCCACAAGACGAAGGAATAGCAGCGTGTGAAGAGGTATGGAACACTCGTAGTGAAAAAAATCCTCCAACTGAGTGCCTTGTTTCACTTCTGAAACTAGTGCTAGAGAACAACAACTTCTCTTTCAATGAAAAACATTATCTCCAGATAGACGGTACTAGTATGGGCACAAAAATGGCCCCGTCATATGCCAACATATTTATGGGCCAACTTGAAAAACGCCTCTTGGCTAGTGCTCCATACCAGCCCTTATCATGGTTCCGATTCATTGACGATATTGATTTCAAATGGACAGATTCACAAGAACATCTTAATGAATTTCTAGGACACTGTAACTCTTTCCACCATTCAATAAAATTTACATATGAATCATCTATGGAGAAAATAAACTTCCTCGACACTACAAGTTACATCAAGAACGGAACCATTATAACGGACCTTCATACCAAACAAACGGACAAACATCAATTCCTTTCTCCTAAAAGTTGCCATCCTAAACACTGCTCCCGTGGCATCCCATTCAGCCAGGCATTGCGAATCAAGAGAATATGCTCTACTGAAAATACGCAAAATGCTAGACTAGGACAACTACGTAAACATCTAGTTGTTCGAGGATACAATAACAACATCATTGATAGCGCTTTCGAAAGAGCAAACAAAACTAGTCGCCAAGAACTTCTAGAGTATAAAGATAAGAATAAAGCAGCTAACAGAACACAGAATGTGTCTTCCATTGTTCAGAAGCATTGGAAAATTATAGAAAATGATTCAAATCTTAAAAAAGTATTTTCCTCACCACCAGTCATGGCCTTCAGAAGACCTTAAAACATCCGTGACAAATTAGTGACATCTGTATTAGCAAAGCAGCCTACTCCATCTCCCGGTTGCTACAAACAATGTGGTCGAAGGAACTGCTTGTGTTGTAAAGCTGCCAATACAAGCAGTTCTTTCTTCAGCTCCGTTACTAAACAAAATTATACCATCTACTCAAATTCCAACTGTAAAACGGAGAACTCAATTTATATATTAACATGTGACACATGTGGCATTCAGTATGTGGGAGAAACAATGGACAAATTTAATATTCGGCTCAATAACCATCGTTCATGGTACAAAACCAACAAAAACTGTCCTCTCACAAGACATCTTCGTTCAACGAAACATTCTTTTGATAATGTTACCTTCCAAATCATAGAAGTCAACACCGAGTGGGACACCACGGCGAGAAGGAGAAGAGAAACTTTTTGGATCCACCAGCTCCACACTTTAGAACCTGATGGTCTTAACGAAAAAGATGAGAAAAGATACAGGAAAGATAAAGAATAATTTAGTACACAGCATCGTCCTTTTTATCCTGTAATATTGGCCAATGGACGTTGCTAACTTCAACTATCAATTTTGTAAAAATCTTGAACTTCATCCAAATTATGTTTTATTTTCAAGGCAGCTAAATTCAAGTGCAACATATACATTGAGCTGCAAAAGTTTCTTATCATCTACACCCGATTTCACCTGGATAGATGCACGCTTGATAAAGCTAGTTAGTCTAGCGAAATATTGCGTTTACTTTCATCATTTTGTAAATATTTTAAACATTCTTATATTTACATACTAAATAGTGTGTTAAAATTACATTGTTAGGCAATCTATAATTTTATTTGTGTAATTGAATTAATCTCTGTACTGATTAATCCACACTCCCATAGATTTGTATGTCATGTGCTGCTATTTATAGGCACTTATATAAATATATATATATATATATATATATATATATATATATGTTTGTTATGCCCATATATATATGTTTGGTATGCCCCTGCTACGTTACTAAAGGGGGCGTTGAGTGTTTCCCTTGACCAGCCGTCCTTCCATCCGTCTTTTTTTCATTTTTGCCCTTTCCTTATGTTTTCCGCATCACAATTTTGCAAAATCTATACACAATTCTTAGAACCAAAACTCGGAGAGATAATTCAAATATGGGCAGTCACTTACAGTTCTAGAATTATAATCCTTTATAAACATGACAAAATACATTTCTGCACTCTACCTTAAGTTTGCTTATATAGCAAATTTTATAAAAATCACACACAAAATACCTACAACTAGAACAATAGCAATCTTTACAAGCTAGCAGTGACATCACATGCTCTCTTAAAAAAGTATGTTGATGTGTTAAACGCAATCTTGATCGGGAACATTCTTGTCCTAAGACACATTCTTCTTTTTTTTATTTTCAGTTAATTTATTTTCTGATAATTTTTCAGGCAGAAATTACATGTGGAGTAGCATGCCAAGGTAATGTATACATCATTGCACATTTATCTGATATCTAATTACATGCATACAGTATATGGTTGGTGTAAATGTCTCACATCCATAACACGATACACCTAGCAACCATATACATAATACAACATGCACCTTTAAACCATATACATAATGCACCATTACATCATTACACTAATATAACGGACAACATTACATAATATACAATCACGCCAAACACTTTTAAACAATATAAACTCAATGTTTTTTTTTAATTAATATTCTAATTAACTATTAATAGAATATAATCCAATTCGAATAACTAATTCATTATCAATTTAAATGGATTGAAATATATTTCAAACTAGTTAATCATTAATTAATTGCATTAAAAGAGTTTGTAATTTGTTATTGTATATTTCGTTGATAATAAAGAGTTCTGTCCTTTGATCACAAATATTGAACAGGGCTTGCGAATGGGCAATTTAAAAACCCGAAAATTATGCTTTGTACACAAGACAAGGCTGATCAATCTGTAGCTTCCAAAATGCATATTATACAATTTGCTTACTGTACATGAACACTCATTATTATAACTAAACTTCAACTGGATCAAAATCTTTCACCGCCATTAAACTAAAAGTATCAGTATATTCAATAAACAATCACTAACTTAGATTGCATGAAACTGTTGCAAGCCTACAATGTAACTGTAAAATAACATGATTTTAAATAAAGAAAACTATTCGACTAGCGACAAAACGTCACATTCATTCACGATTTGAATATTTTTTGAATATTTGAAATCTTCGATGAGTTATTGATTTTATAACATTGACTTTTTAATGGATTTAAAATAAAATTGGAAGGAACCATATTTGTTTCCGCATTCTCAATTTGGTTTAACACTAAGTACGTCTGAACAACACCTAACGTTGTATGACATTGTTTGTTTCCTTGGAAACAAATTGCAATACCTCAATGCAACCGATGTAACAAAACGATATTTTTGTTTCCATTTATTAAAATATTATTCGCTCAGTAATGCTTTTTGTATGATATAACTATCTGAAAATTGAAAAAAAAAATAACTTTAAATCAAGACAATCACACACATAAAACATCATTCTTCAATACAAAATAAGTCTGTCTCCGTAGTCTTTCAGGTTCATCGTCAGCCACCAGTGCATATTTTTTTTATCAATACTTTTTACTACCATAAGAATTTTACCATACACCATTTCACCTTTCGTGCCATTTATGAAAATTTGCACCATTCCAGAACTTAGCCTTACTAGCACAATTGTTTGCATAACCTTCATATCAGGTATATAAATATTTCAGTGACAGACAATGAGTTCTTAAAACAGGTTCCAACAGATATTCACCTACGTCGATTGTCAATGCAGTACAGCATACACGAAACCAAAGAGTTAGCTATTCATCTTGGAATGAAGTTTAATATATGGGAGAGTTTGTATGATACATTAGGGGAAGAACCAGAAAGATTGAATTTTGAAATACTACATAGGTGTATTGAAAGTTCGTCCATTACATTTGATGACATCAGAAAAGCTGTTGAAAGTGGCAACATACAGAACCCCCACACTCTTTGCAAAGTAAGTTGCATTTGAATTGTAAGTTACGTGTTCTTACACTTCAATGCTACGCTACACATATTACATTTATAACCAGACTATATAAGTCTTTCTCTATATGAAGCTTGTTTGTACTCAGTATTAATTATATTGATTTTTTTAAAATAAATGGTTGCTCTCCTTTCAAACTGTCTAAAAAATATGCTTTATTTTCTATCAATTATTTTTTATCATTCATCTTTTAAGGTTTTGAGGGACCAGCCAATTGACTTCGGTAAGTTAAGTAATTTACATTTTAGGTATATAAATATAAGAAGATGCGGTATGAGAGCCAGTGAGACACCATATATACTTTCATTTAATGTTTCCCTTTTTAAATATTCTTGTTGTTGTGTACACTTTTTAGACGTGTATAAAGTACCTAGAAAATCAACCTTACAACGTTAGAGTAGGTATGATTTTTACCTTCTCCACAATCGTGGCTGGAACTTGTACTTTTCACTACATACTTCTACGAAAACACGGCCTAGCATTGTGCAGATGCCTTATCTCCTCCTCTAACTAAAGCTGATAAAAATCAGCTTTCGTTTTGGGAGTTGTCAACATCTTTATATATGAATAGAAAAATATATCTGTATTGTTGACCTTTTTGTGGTTCACAATCATCAATGTAAACTACAGTAACATATACAAAATCTTTCCTTAAATGAAAATGGTACAAAAGCTAAAATACAATTCAATAAAAAGTACATGTTATTTAGGGCAAATAATTAACATGACCAAAACCAAAAAATAACAATTTGTTATTTTGCATTAGACCAGGAACCAGAAAAATGGGACTTTGAACCTTCAGAAGAACACTTTGACAGACTCGCTCCTTTAGTAGGAAACAACTCGCTGCCGTTTCTCATTGAGCTTGGTATGGAATTTAAATCCTGGGAGCAGATTAAATTCAGACAAAAGGAAAGAGATTTGGTGAACTTAACCGAGACATAATGCAAGAGTGGAAGTCTACATTTTGTAATGTTCATACTATCAGACCAACTTTGAGACACATTGGTCAGGCATTCAACAGCATTGGTAAAAATATAAAAATCATTGAAAATGTTTTGGCAGACTTCTTTTGAGTCATGTTGACTAGTTTGGTGTTTTTGAAGTTTAACAACCTAGGAGATTTAATGAACAATTCGTAAAAATATATTTGAATTTATATATGTTAGATTCAAATTTAAAATGAATACGATCACTTGTATATTGGCATTTTGTCAGGGAAATTGTTATATTTCTTTTTTGATTTTTTCAATCTGCTTAGGGTAACGAAGCATTCTTAAAATTACCTTCCTGACGAATTTTGGAAGAAAATAGTAACTCTAAATAGGTCTACATAAATTTGTAAATATTTCGAAATATATTATTTAACTGTTCCCTCAATTTACATATCATTTTTAGAAAATAAATGCATATTTTTAATATTGGCAGCCTTTAATAGGCAAATGTTGTGTTGATTTTGAAACCTAGGAAACATAATCTACAAAAAATGCATCTATCGTAGAATTTATTCTGTCAAAAAAATTCTTTATTTATAACGTCTAAGAACAAAGTTATATCTTTTTTCTAATTATATACAAGAAGAAAGGTTTCCAATTTTCATGCAATATTTTACTAAAATTTGTCTTGGTTTATCAGAGTGACTCTGGGTTTTTATGCCACATCTGTGCCCAGGTTATTGTAAATAAAATAACTATAAAATAGTATTTCGACATGAATTGTAAATATTAAATTTCTGTAAATCGCATATTTTCAGCAGTTTTAATACTCTTGTTTTCTTTTTCTTGATAATTTCCAGGAATAATTTAGATTTTCCCTTTTCTTAACAGTTACAATTGTAGTTGTGTTCCTCAAACCGCTTTTTCGAACCTTTTTTTCATTGTAACATTTAGTTGAATGATATTTAAAGAATGATTGTACGTTGTTTTATGTGTGCTGAAACAGAGGCTAAAGATACAAATGGAACGTTCAAACTCGAACAAATACTGACAAGTCCATTGCAAAAATAAATTAAACATAACGAAAAAAGGGAACAATTCAACAAAACACAACATAGAAAACGGATGACTCAGCTTATTTGAATTTTATATACATTTTGCATTTCAAACAATTCACCCTCGGTTTTTCGTGGGGTTCGTGTTTTCCAATCTTTAGCTTTCTATCTCTTGTATAGTTGTATGATTGGTGCGCGTGTCATGTTATTAGATATTAATATTTATTGGTGTAGTTTGTAATTAATGGGTATTAGTATATATTGCTTATGTCAATTCAATAGTTGTTTGTATATTGTAAAATTGAGAATGGAAATGGGGAATGTGTCAAAGAGACAACAACCACACCATAGAGCAGACAACAGCTGAAGACCACCAATGGGTCTTCAATGCAGCGAAAAACTCCCGCACCCGGAGGCGTCCTTCAGCTGGCCCCTAAACAAATAAGTATACTAGTTCAGTGATAATGGACGTCATACTAAACTCCAAATTATACACAGGAAACTAAAATTAAAAATGATACAAGACTAGCAAAGGCCAGAGGCTCCTGACTTGGGACAGGCGCAAAAATGCGGCGGGGTTAAACATGTTTGATGAAATCTCAACCCTCCCCCTATACCTCTAGCCAATGTAGAAAAAACAAACGCACACAGTACGCACAGAAAAACTCAGTGTATAAGAGAAGTCCGAGTCCGTTGTCAGAATAGGAAACAAAAGAAAATAAACAAAATGACAATAATACATAAATAACAACAGACTACTAGCAGTTACTGACATGCCAGCTCCAGACCTCAATTAAACTGATTGAAAGATTATGTCTTCATCATATGAATATCAGGCACAATCCCTCCTATTAGGGGTTTAGTATTATACCGTCATAAAATTTATGAGAAGAACGTAACCCGTGTCATGCCAACAACTGGTTTTAGAATAAATGTGTTAATTTCGATGCAAAGACCCTATAAGTGAATCAATATTAAAGCCAAAATATGCAATCTTTAAATGACCTGACAACAGTATCGTAACTATATCCCTTCTTAATAAGTCTGTTTAAAGGTTTTGTTAGCTTTTGAGGTGAATACTGACATTTTTGTGCTTTATAAAGAATATTACCATAAAAGATTGGATGTGAAATACCCGGACGTATAAGGTGTCTGCATGTTGAGTTATATTTACGAATGATGTCCTTATACCGATGATAAAATTTAGTAAATGTGTTGACTAGTTTATGATATCGAAAACCCTGGTGTAATACTTTTTCAGTAATACATAAATTTCTCTCGCTAAAATCTAATACGTTGTTACATACACGAGCGAATCGTACAAGTTGAGATATATAAACACCATAAGATTGTGACAAGGGAACGTCACCATCTAAAAATGTATAATTAACGATAGGAAATGAAAAATCATCTCTTTTATCATAAATTTTTGTATTGAGCTTCCCGTTAATGATATAGATATCAAGATCGAGGAAAGGACAGTGGTCATTGTTAGTATTAGCTTTATTTAAAGTAAGTTCAACAGGATAAATTTCTGTAGTATACATATTGATGTCGTCATTATTGAGAGCCAATACATCATCCAAATATCTAAAAGTATTGTTAAATTTTTGTATAAGATGTTGTTTCGATGGGTCTTTGCTGATTTTAGTCATAAATTGTAACTCATAACAATACAAAAATAGGTCCGCAATAAGTGGTGCACAGTTAGTCCCCATTGGAATTCCGATAACTTGACGATATACGGAATCTCCAAAGCGAACACAAATGTTATCAAGTAAAAATTCAAGGTCAGATATAGTATCAAAGCATGTCCAATTGACATAGTTCTTTTGTTTGTTGCTACAAAAAAAATGACCTTAAAGAGTTTGAACATATGTATTCGCATTCCTACTTTTTAAATGCCCATTTAATTAGGTGTGTGAATTTTTTCTTAATAAGAATATGAGGCAAAGTGGTATATAGGGTGGAAAAATCAAAAATTTGAACAGATTCAAAATCACCAATATATGCATGCAATTTATCAAGTACTTTCATCGAGTTTTTGACACTCCAAATGTAATTAATTCCACTATTTTCAAAGGCCTTATTTGAACAATTTATTATCAGGTTTTGATTGTACCAAGTGTACTAGTAAGTAGAATAGACAATTTAGTAGTGGAACAATGACTTGAAGACGAAATAAATCTATATTTGTAAGGTGATTTGTGTAGCTTCGGAAGCCGGTACATAGTTGGGACTTTCATTGTATTTGTAAAATTTACGTCAAACTATAATGATATTATTAGCAGCTTTATCAGCCGGGACAAAAACAAATTCCTTGGCTAGTTCTTTTAGATTATGTTTGATACGAGAAATAGGATTTTTATGGTTGTTGTTAAGAGTAAAATGTTGTTTAAAATGTTGTATACGTATATCAACTATCTTCATTACTGAATTTAAAATAGAGTCAAAAGATTTTTTGTCAGCTTTTTTATTCATTTTTTTCAACTGCTATAATTTTATGTTATATAAGAGGTGAAAAAAAGTAAAATAGCAAAAAATACAGAATTCCAGGTAAAACTCGAAACTGAAAGTCCTTTATCGAATTGCAAAATCAATAGCTCAAACACATCATACGAATTGAACACAATTGTTATATTTCTGACTTGGTATATTTCCTTATGTAAAAAATGTTGATTTAACTTTGTTTTATAGCTAGCTAAACCTCTGACTTGTATGACAGTTGCATATAATAACTTTATACTGACAATAATGTGAAATGTGTGCTTCCTTACAATGACTATTAATTCATAAACAACTTCTATAAAAAGTAATCTTTATATTGCTCTGAATAGAATATACAGCACTCGATTGTGACATTCTAGCATATAACATAAGCTGAACAGTTACATTGAACGCTGTTTGTATGAATACTGTTTGAACATTTACTTCAATTTCATAAAGTTAAGAACCAATGTGCATCAAACTCAGTTGGCCTTTGAAGTTAAAAAAGTCTTCCGTCTACTAGAATTGTATGCCTTTCATTGGTTTATGTATATCTGTTTTATAAAAAAAAATATATGTTGCGTTCAAAATGAAAGATTTTCAATGAATGTGTCTCAAATAAAGGGATTGTGGTAAGCTGGACCTTCGATTCAAATTATTGTCGTCTTCTATTCATAATTTGCAAGCATATATGTTTTTACAAAATCAAAACATTTAAACATATGCAAGCATGTCTTATCTTTTTTAAAAGGATTGTATATTGATACATATGGCAAGATACGTGTTTGTCGAGCGTGCAGTTTTTTGAAGCACAAATTGAGACAACAATTCTCCAATCTGCCATCCGTGGTATCAACGCATTTGTTTTGTTTATGGTAAAAATGTTGTCAAACCTTTTAAGAATTTAATGAAACTAGGTCAGAGCCTTCTTCAATCAAATGTCCGAATCCAGAGTAACATTTTGAAAGTATTTGTTTTCATTTTTCGTGTTTCACTGAGAAAGGACGTTCTTATTATAGCAGTTTTACTGGTGTGGTATGCACTCATTCAATACCAGTTGATATTCATATGTAAATCTTATAGTTGTATGTATAGTGCACTTGATACATGTAAGTATTTACTGATATAGTGTTTACTTATATTATACTAGTTTATATTCACATGTAAATTTATAGTTGTATACAAAGTGCACTTTACACAATCTAATAGTTTAATATCCATTATTGATAAATGGATATATTTTTTTTTGCAGTTATCATAAATATACAGTTTATGGTTAAATTATGTTCATATATTACATACTCACGGTTTTTATGATACTCGGAACAGAGCTTTTTTGCGGGTAAAATAAGCATCCAGAGTATCAATTTGATAACATTGTTTTGTTACATTCTTTTAGTATTTTACTGATTCGGGGACTTATTTTTTGCAGTCAATCGGTCTGGGTTTATTTGACGTCTTTTTACCAAATCAGATCTTCATAGCATTTTATGAAACCTACGCACAGGTTTTTAACCGGATGTTCGAAGGAAATATCGGTTATCGATATGGGGATGTACGGCGGGCGGACGGGAAGGCGGG